GCGAGGTTCTTCTCGATAAACCGCTCCGGGTATCCATTATTGAGGAGTGAGGATTTGATGAATTTAAGTTCTTCCTCCACTAGATCCTTGGAGCAAATCATTCGAGTTCTGTCGGCCAAGCATTGGACTAGGTTTCGTTTAAATTTGATTGGGACGAAACTTTGAAAATGAGTGTATTGGCCGTTCCATGTTGGCTTTCGAAAAATAGAACGGGATAACTTTCCATCGGGCCTCTTCTCTGGAAATCCGCGTGGGGCGTACAAGTCTGGCTCGCCACTAAATAAAACCGTCGCTGTTATTCTGTTACTCTGTGTGAGATAGAGCGTACTCTCAAAGAAAATGGTAAAATTGTTCCAGTTTCATCAAGATTTTGCAAGGAATAGTCCATAAAAGTCACTTTCCCTTACGTTGGGGAAATTCATCTAGAAGTACTCGTAAAATTCTCATTAGAAGGCCAATATGAGAGTTATTTTTTCCAAATTAGATACTGTGTTACTTTAATAATACACAATGAAGTGGTTTACTGTAAAAGGAATAGACCCCATACACCAAGCATATTCTGTAAGAACGGAAGTGTAAAGATGAAACACTCAAAACAAGTCCAATTTGTTCATGTCTGTTTTGAAGAGGTGAACATCATGCCCAGTTACTACTCAGGTATTTTGTGAATAACAACATTTTTTTAACGCGTTCCGAGTCATATGCATTAGCTAGCCATCTGGTCCTCTTTGGTACCCATTTAAGTGAATATCGCTAAGAACTGTTCGTCGTTTGGTCTGAATGTGTCTAGCGTAATCTCGCAAAGGTTGTCCTACCCGATGAATGCTATCTCCTACCTCACCGTTTTATAAGAAAGTAATGATATCCTAATGTTTCTTCAAACATCTAGAGGAACATGATAAGACGTTCGAATGAGCAAGATCACAAATGGTCAATAGGTCATGAAATCCACGCACATTGACTCCCAGGCAAAGGTTTACATACCCGATTATCAGAGGTAAAAATAACCCCAAAGCTGATAACTCATGCGTTAGCGGTTATCACTCCTCTATCAGTATCTCCCTAAATTCTGTTTTTAGTCACAATTCTGCCTAAAAATGTTGTAACCATGATCTCTCTAATGCCAATAAAGCCTCTTTGATGCTCGTTTTTTCTCTTCCCACTTCAATAACTTTTGCCTTAAACATTCTCCATCAAACAGGTTCGTGAAACGTATTTAGTCCATCATTATCTCCTGCTGTTATCATCGTCCATTTATTTACATGCCTGTAGAGCTGCACGCGAAATCGGCTCCCTCTTCTGCTCCAGTGGTTTCTTCACCGCCATTCACTTCCCCCCTGGTTTACAGAGCTCAGGCTCATCCTCAACTTGAATACCACATCCATGCATGGGGTGTAGCTTTGTTCACCTCTCAGTTTCATCTCGAGCGGGTTCAACGTAAGGCCATTCGCCTCATCAAAGACCACTTCTTTATATGTAGATTGCACTTGTTTGCTCACCGTCGAATAGTCGGCTCCCTATTCTATCAATACTATTTTGGTTCTTGTTCCAACAAACTTGCCTATTCTGTCCCTTTTCCACTCATTCTTCCTCGTAGGTTTCGTACGCGAGTGTTCAGTCACCCAATTCAAGTAGCTATCTTCAGATATCGCACTCCTAACTTTCAGTCATTTTTCCTCTAAGAACAGCACAAGTGTGGAACTTTCTCCCAATCTCGGTTTTTCCTCCAACTTACAACAATCTTATCTTTAAGCGCAGAATCAACGAGCTGGTTTTAAATTAAAATGTTCCACTTACCATCCTATGCACGGCATATCCTCAGATTATGGGGTTACCTTTTTTGTTCTATTCACTTTTGTGCGAAAAGACAAATTACACTGAACTCACTTTACAAGACAGATTTTAAAAAAGATGTAACGTCAGACTGAAGAAAATATCAGTAGCTTGGGTGGATATTGTTAATATAACCGAATGGTGTAGACGTGCCTGCAAATGGTGAAAAGGAGAATTCCGCAGGTTATTTAAAACTAACCTGCACTACAATTTATTAATCAATCAACAGATGGAAGGAGACGCTGGTCGAAAAAGTCGTTGTCATGGATAGAAATGGGCAAGTTTGATTAACTGTCCATCTGAACTGAGTTATTTTCAAATCAATGTAATCCAAAGTTATTCAGGTCAAAGGGTGAGAGAGACAGAGCGGTGCAGATGCTGACAACAGATATATACAGCATGACGATCCAGTCCTTTTTCAGTCAGTATTCTTGAGCAAAAGTATTGTCAAATGTAAATCACTTAAAAGCTCTATCGTCCGGTCAGAGTCTCCCCATGATGATGACTGTCTCTTCAGGCCAACCATCCTTTTTTGATTTCAGCTGAATATGATACGCTGGAATTGGCGAGCGATTCTGTCAAAAAGTGTTTGGAGCCACTGAGGCCTCCATCGGCCAAAGTGAACAGCGGGCGATCGTTCGCGGATCAGGTACGTCAAATCAATCACACCGAATGTTTGATAACACCTCCTGAGTTGTAAAACTGGGATGATATCGCAAGCGGACCTGTGCAACAAAATTCATTCCTTTTAAGCTTATGTTTATTCATTCTCCTTGCTTAAGAAGATTCCTTCGAACTTCTTTCGAGTCCTGATCACCACGATGAAGATGTGCGCAAACTGGGTTTGAAGGGTACAGATGTGAAACAAGGTGAAACGATGCATGTCGATCATCATCACAAAAACTTGCCACCTAAAATATACCTGTTTGGTTAAGGGGCCCAGGTTTAAGGTCTCAAACAAAATAAGGAATAGATCAGCGAACTTGTATTGTTTTTCAGTCATTACGTGCAGGTAATTAGGTGTGCATTACGTAACACCTGTCTGTCAATAATTATTGTTTGTACATTGCTCCGCAGACTACTATTTTCAATACACGGCTGGATAAACTGGTGCAAACTGGTCTATTTTTCGTAACTAGACGCCTTATCTTTTCTATTCACTCTCAGGGAACGCCCCACTTACTCCTCTGTTAGTAACACACAGAAGCACAATCCTAAGAAGCATTATGAACGCTACAATGGCGTATCCTAAACTTTCTGACTTCGGCGACAGAGAAATATCCAAAACGTTTAATATATACATACCAAGTAATTGTGTAAACTCTTGTTATGGATAACACACCTTAACATTGTTGCATAACTTTTTGTTGAATGCTTTTTACGGGATATCGGTCCGCAATTTATATGACACGTGTGTGTGTGTGCAGATGTAGCAAGGACCCTCGAAAATTTTTACCGCAGGATAAGAATTGGCGAGCCGAACAGCTTCCAATGGTTTACAAAGAGATGGTCGGCCACAAACGTGGGCATATCTCAATCGGAACTGGAGTAACCGAGCGCATCGGTAATCGCGCGCGCACACAGTGTCTTTGCCTTAATGACCACCTGGACACCATACTCGGCTTCAGCCGTGAGGAAAACAAAGAAAATAACGCAATCGGTATAGTGGAGTCAGTTTGAGATCTATTCAAAATACCATCGTAAGCGGGGGCCAACTGATCGGTTAAGATGGAACGAATGGCTGGGCCAATAAGCTGGCGGTTTTGATCGGCTGATTGAGCATTTTTGCCACCGTGAATGATAGTGAGATAGTCGTCCAATCAGATTAGCCCTGGTGATCGTGTGATGCACACACCGGTCATCTGTTGTGCTCGCGTGTTTTTGCTTACCGCTTTGACTTCCTATCAATCAGTTGCTGTGCTTAACTATCCTTCTATGGTTTCAGCTGAATGGATCATTCTGACATAAATCGATTCAGATTGTCACGTAATGCCTGTTTGAAGTTAGAGTAATAATAAAAAAACATCACGACTTTCCGAAAAACGAGTCTATATGCATTTTTAAACCAGAGGGCAGTGCTTTTCGCCAAAGAGGCTCAGATTTCCTGATTGACTGTGAAAACGTGTAGTGAAGGTTAGGGTAGGTGGCATGCTTTTATGCTTCAACCAAAAGCTAATGAGCACCAGATGTGCATGATCCGTCATCTATTTACCAGGAAGTCTATCTGGAAAAAAATACGCTACATTTTGATAGGTTGGAAATTTGTAAAACAAACTTATCTATGCTAACTTCAGTAGGTGCAAAATTTCCCATTTAGGTTTTTGATGGGTTAACATTATGAACGCACATATTGCCGCGGATAACAAACATGTGAAAATGATCTATTTGGAAGTGGGCACCACAAGTATTTTTTTTTTCTCTGACCGTGATCCGCGTCAATTACCTCACTATAACAACATAGGCCTATGAAATAGTTTGTAAGCCATTCATTCTGGGTGCAACTATACTAAGAATCATGCTCACATTCACGTCTGGACATGGTGACCGACTTATCGATCCATCTTGGTGTGATTCGCTTCCTTACCGGACCGACAGAGGTCAGTTGACTCCGGGTTAGTTCATTCGTATCTATGACGCACACTCGATCAACGATCACGAACATAACGTTCCTGGGTGGAACGGGTGTGTGGGGGAGGCGGGGAGAGAACGGCCCACCTCGACCCACCCACCTACCACCCTACCGAAACAATCAACCTGGCTCGGTAACTCGCGAAAAATGTACTTTTGTTTGTTCACCGAGAAATTAGTTCATTCGAACTGGAGGGGGTTTAGACGGACCCGGTCCAATCGGTGACATTTGACGGCCAAAACACCAATCATCTTGTCGGGGTATCTAATGGAGTGCGATTGGTTGGATTCACTTGAAGTTACAACGGATTCACTTGAAGTTGAAAAGGTATAGATGTCATCAATTCGTAGTTGGTGTCCTTGGTACCTGTACTCGGTTTTTCAACTAATGCTGATATTCTTACTCTAGGACAGTAAGATTTCATTTAATTGCTGAAAAACCAACATCTTTTGCCAATCATTATATTTGGTATCTGCGTTTAAGTTCTCAAAGCCCTTCGTTCATAGACGCAATAATATGATTTCTTATTGGTTTGCAGGGTGCTAAATCTTATCTGGAACGACGTCGAAAACACGGGCTGCCCAGCCTGAAACGGGTACTACAAGAATCAAAGTACGTTATGACCTTATCCGGTCCACAAAATGCATGTGTACGAATTTCAGTAATCAAGTTCGTTTACGGAATTGGATACAGTTATGTAACATCTGTGATCCAAATGAACCAGTTGTCTTGTGACCGCCTTGAAACAGCATATGCGACCGTCATATACGATACAGTTTCGATCGGATCGGAGCAGAAGACCAGTACTGTATGATACAACCGATCTCGAATAGGACAGTCCGAGAGTACTGATTAACTCAAAGAGCCATTTACAATCGTGTGGCCAAGGACAAATCAGTTTTATGCATCTTCCATTCACATGAAACAAAATCGCCTTGATCAATAATAGACACAGTAGTCCAGCTGGCCAAATGGAAGTCTTATCTCCGATGTTCCGTAATCCCTACGAAATCATCTTTACTCTGTCCAACCGGAAAGTGTATGTACTTGGCTGTTCACAGTACATGAGGTTCATTATCAGACTAGTTAGGTAGTGCGCATGGTAAACATTGGTACCCGGCTCTTTTGCTCACCCACCAACCCTCACGGTAACACTGCGTGATGTAACATACACTAAGTTCTGTACGCTGAAATCTATACACAGTGAAAGTAACATATGCATTAATCTAACTTGTGCATGCTAGCATAATTACATTTCAGTTAAAAATGTGTGCTGGTCAACACCTCGAATAAAATATGCACATGCATAAAACAATCAACGTGAAGAATTCTTACACAATTCAATCACTACCTGTTGCTTGTTGGTTAGGGGTTGGATCATGTAGATTAAAGGAGATTGCTTGTAAATGTGAATACGAGACGGTAGATTCCGAAATGAGGACGGATGTGAATGACATTAGGTTAAGGTGCACTGTTTGGAGCCGGTGGTCAAGATTCCTATTTGTACAAGAGTTGATGTGACCAATACTAAGCTCGGTGTCTAATAAATCAACTGATTATAACCAAATCCCAACAAGTGGCTTTGGAGTCTTATTTTGGGAGACGGCAAACACTACAGGGGAGCAATAGAGTAGCACTGGAAAAGCATATTGGTGAACGAGAGCGCACAAAACTGACAACTGAACAACTTTTATCGGTTTCTGGGCCCCAATGTGGCTCAGATCAGTCTACTCAAAACTTGATACTTAAAACAACTTCAAGGGTTTTGTTACCGCGGCAAGACACGTAACATTCGCAAAAACTATTCTGTTATCCCAAATCGAAAAGAAAGTGCAAACAAGCCAAGGGTCATCTTTCAGTCTCTTGGTTGGAGCTATGACGGACTGAGCACAAGCAAAACAAGCATTACAATACTAAACACATTCACTTGCGTATATAAGGGTCAAACAATTAGGTGAGTATTCGATGATGAACAGCGTGGTAGAGAAAGCACGGGAACGAAACCAGTGGAAAGAATCGATTCGCTCAAGGAACCGCACTAACACCGAATGAGTGATTCAATGCTGCCGAGCATTAGTCACATTGGCAAGATCCTATCGTCAATCTGTGGCGCAAGGCACACTTGATTGTATTGAACCGTAGTGAAATCGATCTGTGCTTGCCTCTATTCTGTTTTCCTCGAGTGTTTTTTTGGTGCTGTTACAGAAGACGAGCTTCAAATATTCAGATCGAACACGTGTAGGTCATGAGTTTCGGTAGTTTTAGCGATATTCGTCCGCCGATCTGAAGAAGTGTGCACAAAATTTTGAAAAGATTAAATCTTGCTGACAAACGAACCTTCCTAGGTTGCCGCTTTAAAACACAATAGATTAAACGAGTATGTTGGATAAGTTCATTTTATTATATGATGAATTTTGTCGTGTACAGAGCAAAACGAAAGGTCAAGTGAAATGCTAAGAATCCTGAGACCTCATAAGTAGAACATATGCATACAATCGATAAAACCATCAGGCTGCTAATCGAAACATGTTCCATTTTTATCAGCACATGCTTGTTTTGCTTTTCACACGATGGAATTTGCCTGCATAAGTTGGTTTTCCCTTACACACAGAGCAATCTCCTAAAAATTTACACCAGTGCAGTAACAGACATCCTCCACAATCCCCGAGTCAATATAGACGATTGATTCTGACCGTGTTCACGTCCCCTCCCCACAGAGTTCATGTTTGTTTTCTTCTTCTAATGTCGTCTTACTCTTCGTTCCCGTTCATTCGTTTGCGCGCCGTAGTGATTCGGTAAATCGTGTCCGACGAGGAGCCAGTTTCTTTGGACTGTTGAATGAGGAAACGATTAACAAGGTAAGTGAACTGTGTTTTGTCAATCGAACAACATTAACGGCCTATATAAATAGCTGTACACTTTGTATAACAGCGTGCAAGATGTACGTGAAACGATAAATTGTATTTGTGCTCGACTAAGGGGAATTGGAATTCAGATTAAACAGAGAGAAACAAGGTAGAATTAAAAGCCTAATTACAAACAGGGTACGTGAAATGCAACTGGTGAGCGATCATTTGTTACATGGGATAGGTGGGATAAAACTGAATGCGTTCGACAAATCGGGCCGATTATGAAACCAAACTGTACCGTAATCTGTTATACTGATGTAGCTCCTGATTAGTCACAATCCTCGACCAGGTCCACTTGAGTCTCGGCAAAAGTCATTTTTGGTTGGCATAACTCATGAGGATGGGTTTAGTGGGCGATTTCGCTCTATAGTGCACAATATGACTAATCTCATTTGATTAGGCTAGTCAATTGGCATGTTCTTTTAAAATGCACAGTGTGAGAGGTATGAATATGGTGTGCTACTACTGATAATCGGCTGGCTATTCGTGGCTCAATTTTTGCAGCTACGTCGGCTGACGCTCTGGGGTTCTCTTGATAAGCTACCAACTGACACGACTAGCATAACCAGATCCTCAGGTACCACTGATCTTTGGGATACACATTGAATTGGTTCACAGTGAAAATTGGGCTTTGATTGTTTGAACAAATAATTAGACAAACTGAATAAAACATTCGGTATCCTTTGGCATTGAAAGAGTTCTGCATTGATCTGAAGAGTCACCTCCTGAAGAGTTTACTAATCTCATCTTTTATGAAGTGATAAGAGAAAAATAAGTATCTTAGGAACTGTGAAGGTATCATTAGATATATAGTTTAGTAATGCTTTTCTGTCAGTTTTAACCCATGGGGGAACAGTTCTTTCTGATTCGCTGTACCGGACAACGTATCAAGTTGTTTATGGTCACCAAAATCTGCACTGTATGAGTTTATGTACCATTCTACCAAGAAGCATTTTCTGTTTAGGTTCCTCTGAACAGGTCCATCCTTCTTGCTTCGAAGCAATAAACGAAGGCATAGAATGCATCTTCCTATTTCCTTTCTTAAGTCAAATCGTATTGTGTTGGGCACCTGAATGAACTTGTGCAGAGGTCATTGGACAGTGACTGTCTCCGTAAATACGGTACTAAATCTTCCGGTTTCGAGATCTCGTCAGATAGTCCACCGCTTTCAAAGTTTATCATCAGCACATCTGGAGGTAATGGATTCATTGATGAACTCCCCATACATCATCGACTTGACGGAACAAATGATCATGCTATCAGTGCTGACTGAACACTTGAAACGTGGTTCTTTACGTGTGACTTGTGTGTTTATTTAAGGATCCTTTATTAGTATACAGATGTAGTTACTGTTTCCGGTATAGGCACACTAGCAGGAAGCCAAATCACATCAAGTTAGAGCAAAACCTTGTGCCTTTAAGTTGAGATCCGTTTTTATTTTGACGAAATGATACACCAACTGAATTTGATCGTATTGTATAACCACAACCGAACCACTGACTGAAATGAGAACTCAGTCGGTGAAGATATTGGCTAGTATAAACAGGATGGTTTTATGCGGAAGCATTCGACTGACTGAGCTCACAGTATTGCCTATCTTAGTTCGGTGATCTGTATAGAAATCTTTTGCTCTTTCCTTCACCCATCCATTCACTTCCACCCTCGTTGAGGTTACACGATTTTGGACAGAACGTAAACGCTTTGAAAATCAACGAAGAACGCAAATTATGCCCCCGAATCGTCGTCATCTGCTCGGTCACTTGGCCACACAAACTCCGAGTCGAGAGGCCAGTACAAGTAAGTGATCGATTACATAATAAACCGAATTATAATTTCATCGTATTTCCCCCAATTTTCGGTTGTAGCCATGAGCGGTGTACAAACCAGTCAGCTGACCATACAAACCGCGGACAAGAGTAAGCCATTCTCACCACTAACTGATCTATTTGTGCTTATCAGGTATTAGTCAAAGTTTGTTGCTAGAAGAAAAGCGATTGGAGGAAGAGGAGGCTAAGGAGGATGCGTTGTTGGTGGACGAGCCGGAAATGATTGAACTCACAACGAATCTGTTGTCTACCGGGTGGCAACCACCAAATCAAATTCGAGAAATAATTGCGCATATGAGGTTGGTCAAACATAAAACTATTTTCATTATTTTATCTCCACTTTTATTGAGTCTGTAGCTTTAAGAACAGCTTTCAGAAAATAGAAGTGGACAATGAAAGTGGATACGAGGGAGGTATCTCTGAAATCAGATCGTACAGAAAGATGGAAAAGACAGATTTCGCAAATCATTGTGATTTGGATCAGAAAGAATCCTGTTGCTAAAATTAGCCAGCACATGAAGTTCTGCGATGATCTGACAGCTCCACGATTCACTCCTTCACTCAAAATTGAGCGAATGAGGATAATAATTGTTAGGCCGTGGCGTAATACTCTAAAATCTTATTTCAGTTAGACAGGGAAGATGATCAGAGATTATTGTCCTATGATTTGTTTGGCAAAAAGCCTGTATTCGGACGCGTGTAAAATACATACATAAATACATACATACATAAATACATACATACATACATACATACATACATACATACATACATACATACATACATACATACAACATACATACATACATACATACATACATACATACATACATACATACATACATACATACGTACGTACATACAGATATATATACAAACGCAACGTAATTCTGTTATATAGAATTAGAGATAACTGAATAAGAAAGTGATACTTTTTGAAATTTTGAATTTGGAGTAGTAGACGGCGCAATGTACCAGTGCAACCGTAGATATGATTTGATTCCACGAATATCTTCGCCCATCTGTAAAGAATTGTTATTTATTATGATGGTTTTTGTAGGGAACAAAAAGCTTTTAAACTATATTCGCAATCAACGCGTTCACTAGATGTTTAAGTTCACCCCGATTCAGAGGAGGGAAGCCGGATTTGAGAAAGCCTATAAGCAAAGGAACTTAGGTGAGAGGACGAAGAAATGGATTGATAAAACGGAAGCACTATCACAATCCCTGCTGGAAAAAAACAAGGAATATTAAGTGTCTGTGGAAAAAAGTATGGGGATAGCACAGCTCCTTGAAGAACTCCGGAGTTATTGATTACCGGTTTTAATGAAGCCTTTTCACGTCCAGTGGTTCGTATTCTACCAATAGAACAGCTAGATAACCAAGCTAACAATTATCTGGGGCATTCAGAACACTCTAGTTTTTTAAATAGCATTAACAGATGATTGAATTTTATTTCTAAGAATCAATCATAGAAAACACAAATTATTCGACGGGGTCAGTTAAAGACTTCGTGATATAATAAATTGGGATAGAGACTGCTTCCTAAATGGATCTGTTTGGCTTGCTGACGAACCGTGGTGGAACAGTCGGAATGTTCATAGGCTGTTATAGGTGGTTGCGAATAGCCTTTTCCGTCAATTCTAGGACAGAAGAGGTCAAGGATCTGAGTCAAAAACGTTTGAAGAAGACAGAAGATTTGGATGATTTTAGGATTGGTATAACTGCGACCTACCTTCAACAGTCTGAGGCCATGCAGGGAATACATTATGAGATTATCATGACGATCGAGAGTAATCATTCAATATTAACAATAACTACAATTGATGGATATCGATTTTTGATAAGTAATGGTTTAGTTTTTCAACCAATCACATCCATCTGTTTGAAATTGATTCAAGTTACCCATGTATGAGCCAGATCTTCCAATGTTTTTTTTTCAATACCCATTTTCATCCAGTTTTCTTTCCAAATTCATATTTCATTCAGTCGAGTGGTCATCCGCTGGGATGTATAAAATTTTCCAAATTTAGCTGCGAACAGACAAACAGCATGTCAACTGACCTATGCAGAGCTTGTTACATGCGATGTGCCCAGGAACATCTAATCCAACTTGCATTGCTCTTTACCTCCCAGTCCTGTCCCACCTGGGTCCCGTTCGAATGAGCCGAAGGGAATACATGCAAACCAGAAAGTCTCATCCGCAGTTTCTCGACGTCGCCGACGACTTCGCGCGCAATGGCTTGATGAACAGCCCCGTCCTTACACCCCGATCCACTTGAACATTTGCAGACCCGGTCTTGGACACGATTTACATGTGTCAGAGGAAAAGCTACGATTGACTGGACTGTTAAGCCAGCAGACTCTCCGTTCGCCGGTTGATCATGAAAAAACCGGGGGACGACCAACAAATGCGGAGGACCAATTTAAGGGAATCGGAGAAACTTCTTTGAGAGAACGATTGATTGAGTAGGTTCATTTGAGATCTATTTGGAAAAGATAACGAAAAACTAGTTAAAATCCTCTGATGTGATTTTATTTCATTTGGAATATCACAAAGCGCTGATTCCATTAGTGACACAATTACTCTATAGGTGTGGATTAATAAAAAATATCCTTTTTCGTGAATTTCGTGATTGTATTGCCATAAAAATGTTAAAACAAACAGTAAACAGGGAAAATTGAGGAATCGCATTCTGAGAATAACTATTGTCATTTATCGAGGTCTGAATTTCTCTCTATTCCAAATATTGGTATCATCTTGCTCACGGTTCACCGATACTACGGCGTCCCACCTTGGTTTTGTCATACCTAATTAACTAATTTTTATCGAAGACAATATTTACGCAAACTGGAACGGATCTCCCTGATCAATCCTGGTGTTAGCAGGTCTGGCCCGAGGAGAAAGGTTTTCTCTGGACAAACTGTGAAATGTGCAGCGCACTTGTACACACAAACATTAGCACCGTGAAATTTAACACATCCCACCTTTGATTTGGTGGACCAGTTACACTTGATCGTTTTTGGCTGCAAAGCAAAAATCCTTGAATAATGTGTACACAGTATTAGTTCATTTATAATAACAGACAACCTAGGACCTGGAGTGGGGACCATGTACGCCCCGACGGAGTAAGCTTGGTGAGGCAAAACTCAGCACAGATATGTGTTGTAACAGTTGCATGATGAAGGAAGGTAAGGTCGTTAGCAGCAACTGGAATGGTGCAACCAATCCCACCTGACCAACACCCGTAAGTAGGTGGTTATCGGTGTGCAAAACATGAGAGTACTGAGTAAGACTGTGCAAGACCATGTAATATCGTTTGGACAGTGTTGCATTCTAATCGACGCCTTATCAGGTGGCGGATAAATGAACGGCCACCAAAAGGGGTGGTTAGTCGTGAATGAGCAGAGTGCACGCTCACTGAATAGGCGATCACGTAAGAGCGGTTTCCGAGGACTTGAAAGCTTTTTCCTGTCAAGCGTCCTCCTCCCCCGAAAACGTCATTAGGGGCTGATAATTTTTCTGTAACTTGGTGGATGAGACCCTCTACTAATGAGGCAGTCGTCTTTTGTCCGGTTCCGTCTACTTAAAACAGGTTTCCAGAGGTGATAGCTGAACCAAATAAAAGGCCTGTAGCCTTGCAGGTTGCATTTGAATTTCCAGGAAGTTACAGGAAGTTGCAACCTTGAATAAAATGACCGCCAACGATTCCATACCCGAGAACGTCTATGGATCATTATGAGGTCTACGAAACCGTGTGATTCTACTAAGTGAGATGATCAAGTAACAGCAAGGACAGAATAGTTCCGGCAAAGTTACTTTCATTTGCGTGCCAGGGAATCGATTCAAGATGAGCCAACTTCAAAGAATCATTGTGATGATTCTATGCTGAATTTGACAGGTTAGACACAATTTATCCCACTAAACTCGACAGCAGGGCTGACTTTCAGTGGTTTTAAGATAAGCAGTGGGTGAATGACCGGAAAAACATTCTCACACACGACCTATTTCATGATGTTTGTCGCTCGTCAGGTATGCGTATCTGGCAGTCCTTTGCAAAATCGCTCATGTTTGTACTCCCTAATTGGATTTAAGCTGCATGATGAATCTTAAAATCGGTTGCATTCTTTTAGGGAATTGGTTCCGGTCATCCATCTGCTACTTATGATGAAATGACACTGAAAATTGGTCCTGTTGTTAATTTTCTGGGGTTAGAGTGATTTAAACTTCGAAACCTAGCATAGACTCATCACAATGGTTCTTCGAGATCAGCTGACCTCGAACCAGCTCATTGACATACAAATGAAATATGCGTTGCCCAATTCGCATTTTGGAGTAGACGTATAAGAATTACTCTAAAAATCATTAACGGATACGGAGCGGAGATGTCTGCGAAAGCGGCTATGTGCACCGCGAAATTACAGATAGTCTACTAATCTTCTGTGTATGATCTCGGCCACGATATCATATCCATAGCTGAACATGCTTTTATTTAACCATTTAAGTTCTATGGGTGTCCCAGCGAACCCCTCAGCCTAGAAAGAAAGTATCGTTCAAGGTGTCATAGTTCAAGATGTCTGAAATTAGATCAATTCGGTTTGATCAAGCAACCGTGTAGCGAATACTTCGTTCTATGTATGAATCATCAGCTTGTTCTTAGTACTCGCATTGCACTCCTAAGTGAAGAGTTAGATAAGTTGAAAACATTTCTGTAAGCCTTGGGGGATGGTTGAACAACGTTTAGCTCGAGCTTTGCACTTTAAAAGTTCAAAATACTGCTACATGACTGGGCTACTCTATCCCCAACCACCGCAACAGAGAAGCAATAGAGAGCATAGGTGAAATCTGCTATTTGGGCGTTCACATCGCACCTGGAGGACGCAGCACGTATGGATTGCACGCATTCATGTGGAAGCCTCGGTGGACATTTGCCTACTTGAGATATCCCTGGCACCATCGCAGCATCTGGCTGGCTGTGAATGGTCGAGTGTATGCTGCAGGAGTTCTACCAGTGCCATTGTATGACGCACATATTTGACTATTAAGGGAACAGTATAACGAGTAGACTGTCGGTGTTTAAACACCGCTGCCTTCGCTGCAACCTCCGAGTCTGGTTGAGCAACGCGGGAGTTAGTAGCCAATCGCGGTGATCCACTAGAGCAACTGCCTAAACTCCATGTCACACCAATCGCCTGGTGTTTTCCAAGGCAGGTCATGAGTGGAGAAATGTCAAAGGTTGTCAACCAAAATTTGGCTTGAATGTTTAAAACCCTGACCAGTAAATTTGATCTTTTGCTCAACATCATTTGCTCATGATGAGCTTCCTAAATGGGACCCCGGAGTCAGTGCAACTGATGGTTAGAGATATTGAGTGATATTCACGTTCGGCTCGTCGCCGAGCTTACCCATTTGTTTTCAAACGTTTCTTCCACAAACGAGGTAACATCTCCAGTGCTTGTGAAGTGGCGGTGTTCTGCATTGTACTAGTCGGACTCGCTGTTTCACCTTTGCAACAGCTCAGAGCGAGAGAAGAATTGTTTATCCATCTGGATGGCAGTTTTTGGTCTGATATATTGATGACACATTAGTCGTCTGGGAGAAGAAAGAACACGCAACATTATAAATGGAACGTTTGAAGACAACAACTCCATAATGAAGGTGGAGAAATATAACCGCCTGGCAGAACGCCTTCGAGAAATCTGGTGACAACGGTCTACCGCAAAGCACTGCATTTGAATCAAATCAAATGAATTCAGAAATATTAATCCAAACAGAAGATGCTGCTTTGAAACCTGTTTCGTAAGAATCAAAATGCAGTGCAGCACCAAGGTATTCAAAAAGAAACTTCTCCAGGTTATTTGCTCGCAACGGTTACATGTGTGAATTCATCAAACGTAATTTGATTCAAAGAAAAAAAACAATAAGAACAAGAAAAACCCTGCCGTTCAAAAGGGACGTTTCAGACAACCAGACTGCCCAGATCATACGGACTCCCAGTTGCCCACAACGTGACAGTATACTTACCGAGCATCCTTTCAAAACTAAGGGGAAAACCAATGGAGAAAGACTAGAGCAATGTTATCTACACGAACTATCCAAAACGCTATTCTGGACAAATAAGAAGAAAACTGTCAACAAGGGTCCGTAAACATCAATTGGTAATCAAGACGCATTACCCACTATCATGGATTTCCCTCCAAGAAGTTTTAGAAGGACTTCAATTCACCCCTAATCGGTGAGAACCATTAACCAAACCCCAGAAAGGTTCTCGATGCTGGGCACTAGTCAACCAACTCGGCAAACATATAGATCGAACTATATAGATCATGCGTGCACGTCAATGTACATCAAGAAATAAATGACGCAATGAAAAGTCCCACAATAACCGGAGAACGGACCAAAACCCATGACTCAGAAGAGGGGAAAACCCTCCTTTCCCTTCGCAGTAGTTCAACTTAGAAATAGGATGAACACCACTATGGCAAGGGAGAAGAACAATACTATACTGGCATTGAGGATGTCATCTCGGCTGGTGAATAAACGTTTATGAACAAACTGATGAGCTCGACGAACAGGCGAAAGTAGATTCAGTTCACCAGAGCGATGAGAACCGATTTTCCGTACTTTGTCACGCCGAGTGACATGGCTGGGTGTCGTAGATATTAATGTTTTTGCATCTGCTCAAATTCCTCACCACTTTATCGTACCTTTTCAGATTGCTATCGCCTTCAGCATTCCAATCTTCCCTAAACTTCTTCCCCTAGATAATCAGTGACCAAAAGGGAGTAACCGAGACCACCTCACACAAGTTCAAAATTAATGGTTTTATAAACTGAAACTAGTACTTCTATCAATGTCAGTGTCCACAAGTTGTTACAATGAGAACCTGGTGGTTTGTTTGTTCTACTCGTCTCCCCAGCTAAAACAAAATTTTCATGTTGTACTAGGTTGAGCATCCTTCGTGTACAGTTCTGGAGGAGTCTACAAATTCGATTATGCATATTGCGTGAAAGAAACCAAGTTCCTTCTTTTTCTTCAACACTGGAGCATTGGATGGGACTACGGGTTTAGAATTGATCTGAGCTCCATTATTATTGATTTGAGATGAAATTCCTAAAATATTCTTACTATTCATGGTACAATGATCCAATTCGTTGTATGAACACAGTTGGACGCGGGGCAGTTGTTGAATTCATAACAATTTCACAATTACATTTCTGGATCCGGTCCTCATAGGGATCAATAGATCTAGAGCACTGTACTGCAAGTCAGTAAGGTTTTACCGGCTTTAAACTGCCTTCCTGCACTTCTGTTCAAATGAGCTCTTAAAACTATGAAATTTAAAATCTGATTTTCCAATAATGAACAATGTATTCCTTTTCTCCCATTGGCATTTTCTCGCACAGAGATATTCTCTACTCACAACTCTGCTGTCTGCACTGGCTACTGGAGCAAATGATCACTGGGCCGAAAGATTCGCATATCAGCCCGATTGCTCTGCCCACCGCCGGGGTTCAACGAAATCGGTACGTGCTTTGTTCCGCATTCTTGTAAATCCCGTAATCTTTCCCTCAACGTGTGCACGGGCTTGATTGAGAAGAATGATGATTTTATTACCAAATATGGTGCTCCAAAGATTCCGAAAGAAATCAAACGCTCAATGAGATGTGAATAGTAACAAATAGGATCACGGACTCCGGCAGTGTCCTGCCTATGCTGTAATTTCACCTACAATCCAGTATTCATCATCGCTGGCACTTGGTATCACTCTTCCACAAACACTGACGCCCTCACCAAGCATGTGCATTGAGATAGTTGTTGCATCACACGCGTACACAACCATGTAAAGGTGCGTGTCACAGCCGTCTTGCTTTGTGCGTGACCTACCGACAAAGTCGACAAACGTGTGTGCGAACCGAATAGTTAAGTGGCGAAACCTCAACCCGGACTAAAGCAACTTATTTCATCACACCAGTACAGGTCAAAACAAATTTGTACAGATCGTTTCCCGACAATGCGGTTTGGTGCAACAAACTCGTCTGTCTTTACATTGGATCAGAGAAATTGGTTTTGTAATTATTCGGTATATTCCACCGGGAACGGAATGACTACCACAAGACACTGAGACAGAATGACCCAATTTTAATCATATTCACTTATGGCTCAAGGTGGTAATCTCGTTCGTTGAAACTTTTATTTTCGTACTAGAACCAGTCACATTTGTAATTCCAATCGCTTATCATGTTTTGATTTTTGTGAAATCATTGATTGCTCCAACCTAATTCTTGTCTATTTGAGTTGACTGTTTCATAGATTCAAAATTGTCATTATACGAGTGTAACCGGTTCGGATGTAATGAACATTCGGGAAACGCTTAATGATGTTGTGGTATTCTTCGGAGTTGAGAGCACACGACTAACATCGACTACACATCGACTACATTATGCACTTCAACCTATGCATAGGGCTATTATCACAAATCTACAGGTATTTATTAAAACCAAAACGGATTCTCGGCACAATTGCGCGTAAACACCAATTCTTCTTCCCACGTATTCGTGGTCATTACAAACAGATACTGTGTGCGTGATGATGTGTGCTGAGCTCATGTCAACTAAATGGAAAATCTCAGAACAGGATTGTTCACATGAAACAGCCTTTGTATTTGTTGTACTCGGGTGATAGTAGATATGAATTGATATCATTCATTTGATCATTTCACGTCGCAAACACCGAATACTTTGTTAGAAGTCCCCGGTTTCATACGAACAGTCATTTGTATTGGAGATGGTGAAAACCACGGGATTCAGTGGTTTAAAACATCCATGACTATCAATCTCTGTCCAATGTCCAAACAAAAACTTTGCCAGGGCTCGGAAACGTTCATCCGGAGCCCTCAAATCTAACCAAAATTTTTCAAATAATATGAATGGGAACTTATTACTTGATCCAGTCCCTATTTTTTCATAGTATCGTTGATTCAACAAACATTCGGTTTCGACCGAGCAGACGCATTCCTGAAGCAACCCCTTCCCGAGATATATTTCAAAGGAAATGACCATATTACAATATGGCACGATTCAGGTCCAGGACGATCTTGCTGCATCTCACTATGATGCATAATGCAAAAACAATGTTTATATAGGGATTTAGCATGGTAACACAGAAAAATAAATAGACAAACAAAAAATGAGAGAGGGGTAAAAGGATCCAGTCACCAGGGTAAGGACAAACTAACAAAAAATTCTTGTGTGTTGACCCTGGGGGATTCCATCGGTTGCTAGCAATCGCTTCTGCAAACCTTAGCAATTTTGCGACTGCTGAATTGTAGGTGATCCGAAGCACCGTGCTTCGGTCACTCTGGTGTTGCGTCATCAGCAGCTGTTGAGCTATGGCTGATGACAGAGCCTTGTAGTTTCGACTGTTGTTTCCATGCCGCAAACCTAATCTCGATTGCGTCATCTGACTTTGAACTCAACTTGGTATATGTTCAAAAAGCCGGTTACGTAATTGTTGCTCTAATCTGCCCACCTAAGACACTCCGCACCCGCACTGGAATTGATATATCCTCTGTTGACCGAGTGAGTAAATGCATCCAAACGGACGAACAGTGGACTGAGGAATTAGTGTTTTCACTGATTCCAGTATGATCGTCGAGCATGGGCTTTGAAACAGACTTAAGGTATGATGACAGCACAACACGGGTTCAGTGAAAGTTTAAAGAAGCATCTGATGAAAAGATCGGGGCAAGCTCTTACTTCTGGACTGCATTTTCTATGGTTAAATAGACTTAGAAGTCCAGATCCAATCTAACTGGTCCCTGATAAGCACCGTAACTGCTAGAGTGAGCTGCCAAGACAACAAGACTCTTTTACTGCACGCGAGTTGCACAGGTATCAGGATATGCACATGCTTCTGTTGCCAATTTGACCGTGCGATCTTCATCTAGCCAAACATTCGGGAGATCAGCTCAAGCGAAAAGTCAATCAAGGGTAGCAATAAAGGTATGCAGAGGAGGAACCGTATGCCACAAGATTATTTCCCGAAAGTTGACAGTGATCATTCCCTAAAGAGTACATTCTGTTATGTCGTCAAAGTTGATGAGGGGACGTTTCCTGGGAGGTAATTGTAGTGTCATAGTCGAATCAATTCGCCTCTAACACCCCAACGAATCCTCTAGAATTCAGCTGGCTTCTGTCACGTAAAACTTCTTTAGAATGACATATAAACTAGAATAAACTCGTGAATAATAATGACATCCGTGAGGTGTCTAGCATGATTTACTTAGTCATTCTTTATCACGAGTGATTTTTTATCCGGATTGATTACGCAGTTCAAGCTGAACAAATTGATCACCGTGTAAATCTCCTTTTTCTTTTAGGCCCGAATCTGGAAGTTTAACCAGCTCAGTCCCGACTGCAGACGGCCCCGAGAAGACTATCTCGGCAGATCAAGAATGGTATCAGTTAATCTGCGGAGTGGATCGACTAGTTAAATTGAGAGCTCGAAGTCGCAAGGTTAGTGAGGAAGCCAAAAGACGCTGTTTGACTGAGTATTGTTCATTCTAGTTGAATTTCAATTTCGAGTCGGTGGAACTACCCTGGTCTGCAATGCACATGTTCCTGTTGCGTTCTTTCGTGGTTTTCTCTGTTTTTAAGAACAAGTCACTCGGTTTTGAATAAGTTAACTGCAGTTTTGTTCCGGTTTAAGTTATACCATCATAAATAGACCGTTGTGAATATGCGCATTGCCGGCTTAGTACACATCCGCAGCGACCTGCTTTGGAGTCTGTATCTTCAGGAGAAAATTACTCGTGACTCACCTATCACGCCAAGCGGACCGAAGTTTAAGCTACCTGTTCGAATTCATACGCGTTCCTACTGTCACTCTCACAACCGTAGATACCGATACCTCTGGAACGGATCAGATCAAAGCAAGCATTGCCGGACTGTGAAGGGAGAAACTAAAAGGCTTAAATCTCAGAAGTTTGGAAAACTGTTGTGCCACCTACCAACAAACGAAAAGCTCGTTTCATCTCCGTAATGCAATAACGGAGCACTTTTTGAGAGCCCGCAAAAGAGCTCGGGGAGAGGAGAGAACAGTTGAGCAGCTGTGTGATGTCAAAAGCAGTAAAGCTGTCGGAATTCGTTGTTACTTGCACCATTTTGGGAGAGGGATGCTCTATCACTCTTCTCATAGTTGATGCGGAAAACAGATGTATAAGAGAAAACGTGAGCTATGCGGCTTTTACAGTTGATGAGAAATTCGATGCTAACAGAAGGGGCAACAGTTGAATTTGAAACCTATTGGCCTCAGGAACAGACAAGTCAGCAACAGAGAGTGAATGAAATGAGAAACGTGAAGCAGTCACATTAAAGCTACTAACTTGGGATATATTTAAATGCAATGGAAATCTTTGTGATGACCGACAAAGATCACACTGGACAGTTATTTCATCCTGTGTAGGACTCGTGGGCAGTGCGCGTAATTTTGTGTTCCTGTCAGGACTGGAATCGCGAACCTTCAGGTGGGGATTTCAAACCCTTACCCCTGAGCTAAACAGTCCAAACATTCACCGTCTAAACCTGAGATATAGTTTGTGTGGGGAACCGGGTTGTGGGTAAGCTGAATGAAGAGAATGATCGACGGTACAGTAATAGCAGACATATTTAGGATAAAACTAAGTGGTCAGCTCAAGCGCTGGGAGTAAACCTCATGGATACCGTTCAAATCATCCTTTATTTCACGATCGAGTCCTAAACATGAACTTGGTTACTGTTCCTCCATAAGGAAAGAATAAGTTTGAGCAATAAAGGAACACATGCATACGACTACCTTCGGGTTAAAGCTGTTTTCCCTCGGCTAAAATGCAAACCCACACCGGTCCGAGTTATTCAGCCCCAAAAACGAGGGTGTGCCTAACAGATCAGACGCTGTGGTCGCATTCCGGATGTGATGAATTAGTGTTAACAAGCAAGAAAACAACGGATTTTGATCGTTCTATGATCTGCCGATCCACTGCTTTTTCATAGATGTGCTAGGATCAATGATATTTTATCTCACAACTACGGAACAAGCGTAAAATGATACTGGAGAAGCAAACGCGTGCACTTCAGTCCCTGATGTACTACACATAGCTGACTGTCGGTGGGGCAAAAAAGTATTGAACAAAAATTTAGCGACAGCGCTACTATACCCCACCCCTCCGATATTTTCATCCAGAAAGATTTCACGAAGCTAGACAGAATTAATACGATTTTCGAGAATCCGGACAGAAACTGGATGCAACGCCAGAATACGAAATTTCATCAAATTTACCTTTATTTTAAGAACACTAAGCCAAAAGGTCACCAGTCTCACTTCGATAAAAGTATTACACAACCTCAGCAAGCCTACATCGGCTTACAAACTGATTCGCTGGTCATCTCACGGTTTTTAATTGATGATGATCAACTTACTACCTCCTGAGTTCAATATCGACCAAGGTCATGTAATGCCACACTGATGGTGACCATAATCTAAAGGCTTTCATGGTTACTTTGGAATTGGGATAGATAAGTCGAAATTAGTTAACCGAAGGTAATAGAAACCGTGGTATGCTGAAAGAATCCCAGTGACATCCTAAATCTGTTGGTATTCGTGAGTTCTCCGAGCTTCAATCATTCCACATCATTTCCATCCCGAATCTGTTCTTCGCGCACTCAATTCAAACGCATATATAAGCGTTAAACCAGGTTCAAGATTCTCTTGTGTGCAATATATACGATGGAACTAAAAACACCGGTTTTTCTTTTACTTTTAGTTGTCTCCGCAATCTAAAATCAGCACCGGAATCGAACAATACAACGGACACTGAAAACAGTCTCTAGGCAAAATTCAGGAAGATGAAGGAGGCACATAGGTTTAATAAAACCACTAACAGGAGAATGTTTAAGAAATTCATAAATAATCTTGATTGTTTTTTGGGGGGTGGGTGGGCAAGAAACACAGTGTGCCACTATTTTTATCTGGTTTTGTCTCATCAGCAGTGCCAATTCATCAACTTTGATGAGGATCGAACCCGGGAACTTATTGGCAGAAAGTAAACACATTGTCCACTTGATCACCGGGTAACTTACCAGGAAAGTAATGCTCCGAAAATATGTTCACCTACATTGTGTTCTTAATCAATGGGCATATTCCTTAATTTGAAAACTTACCAGACCGTTGTTCACTCTGCCTAAAGACGGAAAGCGATCTGGCTGTCTGTCTGCTGATGTTCAAATTAATAGTATTCAAGCTGAGAAGTCCAGAATATGATCTCCAGTTGGGTTCATGGATTTGTTCTTCTGGTGAGAACCAACAAGTTTGAAGCAGCTGCAAAATGAATTCCTCTTTGACCTTTAAGTTCACACTTCAGTTTCTCTGTGAACGATAGTGTTCCCCGTATGATCGTATTCGATCCTCCGGTACCACCCATGGGATTCTCAGATGTTCATGGAAGTTATGTCCAGAAGAACTGCATAGGTTTGAAAGCTTGTTGACCGATGGTATCCGGTATCACGCTGATCTCGATGACCGAATTTCACCAGTTATAATATTTTTGTCCCCCTACGCATCACGATTTGTCCAAATAGTGTCCTCCTGATAACGAGGATTTTGATGAACTTCAGTACCTCGGTGATTTGTCAACAAAACAGAATTGATAGCAGATACGGAAAAGGAAATGATTCCAAAAAGGGGATTGGCTGGGGCACATGCGGCGTTTTAGCGAGTGGTGAATGAGCAGGGTATTTGTGACATAGGCATTTGAATTACTTCGCCCAACACTACAACACTATCCGATTCGGACTGCAAAGACTGAGCCATACTCACCGCATACTTTGTTGTCCTCGTAAAGATCGAACGAACTTTTATATGAATTCTTATGCATAGCCGTGGAGCTAGGTTATTACAGTTGAGTTTAACCAGTCATTTTGATGATGCGTTTTCTTGCCCTCGAGAAATGTTTAACGGGAATATGACCATAAAACGGGCTCAACAACAAGATTTCAAATCACTTTTTCTTGGGGAGTGAATTTCACTGTAGGTGGTGCATCAGTAATATTGGGAACGGATATTTTAAATCCTCGGAGCAGCCCATGCTCTGTAACGTTTACTTTGTCCATGCTGAAGGGAAACTGATCATTTGCTTTCATAAACCCAATGAAATTTAAATGAGAAGTGATGATGATGTGAATAAACACCTCTCTTATCCTCGTAGAAGGATACTATGGGACTCAGCTCTCGTAAAACAGCCGCATAATTTTTCATTGGATTCTATTACTGAGCTGAATATTTTGTATGCGTGTCCCCCCGGGGGGAAGGGGCAAATTCATTTACTCTCATGACAGAGTGCAAATATCCTGCCTTCTTGGGAACCACTACCCACGGGGATAGGAAAGTCTATTCATAGAGGGAAGATCGATAGCTGTATACTTGCAGTGAGACAAGCTGTAACGAAAAAGGGCCAATGATTCAATGAAAAGAAAAATAACGTGAGACTTGCAGCTCATTAACATTAATCAGCTGATTGATGATAGCACCAAGCATTCAACCAAACAATCAAACGGTTTTCAAGTTGATGGACGTGATCGGTTAGGCGACAAAACATCACTATGAGGCTTCTATAACCATTGGAAACCTTACGATTATTCTAGGGCTGCGTAAAATTGAGAATAGTTGGTTCCTTTGGTAATTTGAGTGCTGAGATACGGTTCGGATTTTGTAATGCACAGGTTCGAATTCTGTTTATCAAAGCACAGTTCTTCTATCCAGAAAGTGAGTTGATCTCTGTGATGAGGACCGTGTGTTTGTCCTCCACAGCTATATGTGACTTTCGTATGCCAATTTCTCTTCTCAATCCACATTTATGCTGACAGATATCAAGCGGGACCGGATCTTCTTATCGAAGTTTGCACTCCGCCAAAAGTTGGAGAACTAGTAAGTACTTTTTCTCACTCAAATAATCCCACTGTAGTGATTGATGTATGTGTGTGTGTGTGAAAACACTACCCACGAAAAATTAATGAACTCTCTCATTAGCTCACGTAACAATCATGTTCTCCTCCTGAAACCGTCCAATCCACCTAACTTTGGGGCAATACGGTGCTTTCAAATGCTTCAAAATCCCACACTTCGAATAGCTGAATGAAGTTCTCAACTCATCCACTGTGGCCCGTGCCAATCGTATGTCTACACTGTTTTGTTCTCCTCACGCTGGCTCAAATTCTAACATTTCAATATACAAATAATTTGCTTGACAGTTTTGTTTTTTAGTAATGTCTGATCCGCTAATGACGGTGATGGAATGTGTGCAAAAAACGAGCTGGGTTTTCTATGATTATCCGATTCTGTAGCATTTCACCTCCAAGAATGCCGTCACCCAAAGTTCGTCTGTTTTGCCTTTCTGTGCGCTTATTTTCACACCTCCAATCACCGAGTTTACAGTGATAGTAACTCGTTACCGAAAATATTAGCCCGATATATCCTGTCCACATAGGACTATGTGGGCCTTTAGTCTGTGATTTCAAGTGATCTAGAAGAGAATGGACTCACACAGGTCTCCATGCACGAGGTTTGATCAAAATGGTACCAGCCTTCAAATGTCTTTGTGAGTTATCCTCAGTCTTCTGCGAGCCAGAGGGACAGAGAGTTGGTTCATGGTTCCCAATCGCTGTTCTCATTAGTACTGTCGTGAATCACCATTGAATTCTTTCCATATGTGGGATGATGGTGCTGGTCAAGTAGGTTATCTCGCTCTATTTGGTGTGCTTTAGGGCCTAGGGTTCGAGGTTCGAACCTTGCCGCCACCACCCAGCTTTGGTTGCAGGCAGCTTTGTTGTCACCTGATTCAACACCGCGTCTAACCTAGCGGGGATTAATGTGGTTCGCCATTCCAATTACTGAGTCTAAGGTTGCCGGCTTGCATGAATGAACAACAGGTCTTTGTGACTATGGGCTTCACACAATACCAAGTAAGGTTTTGTAATGAATGGGAGGATTAAATTCCACTTATTGTTTTACCTGTACATACAGAAGTATGTACAGGTAAAACAATATCTGGACTGATAACCTGTGTCGTGCAAACGGCTTCCATGACCTATCAAATCAGGAAGGAAAGAATGACCGGAAACATTCAACACCGGGATTTGGCGCTGGTGCATGGAAAACTTTGCCTCTCTTAGTAGGTTAAATGAGGTCATCGATATGACATGGACAGATGAGCTGCTTCACCAACGGAATCGGATAAGGTAACGTGGAACGTGCACAATGTATGTAACTATAGTGCAAAGAGTGTGTGAAGTGACACCAGACAAACTTCACCTAATAGCGGGTTGACTAAGGGCGTGATCGTGTCACCGTTGGTGGATACAAGTTGCGCTGAATTACAGTATGCATGATTTCACCCAGAAACTGAATAGTTGCCCATTAGGCATAAAATTAGGCATTAAATATCCCAGCACACACTGACTGCATTCGGTAAATACTTGTTTGCAAAGAACCGCTTCATTTCATATGTGGCCTAGAAATAAACTGCTATGCTTGAACCAGAGCAACGTGAGGTCAGATCATCGCTGGTCAAACACGCCAGGATCAGATATGGACATGTAACAGTCATAGACGTGTTAGGTTGTTGCCTGGCAAATATAAAATATGAAACATTGTCAGTAATGAACTAAGGTTGCAAAACATTTGCGTGGCAAAGTTGGGAAGTGAGCAAGTGCTATTCGTAAGGTTCATCATTACATATCCCCAATTTCCCAAATACATCATATCAATTTCTACTGAGTATTCTAACAAGTTGCTCCTCGCATTTGGAAAACGTTACAACTTGTATGAGAACCTTGAAAGATTTGTTTTGATTAAATTTGATGAATTCGTCGTGTAAATAAAGTAAGAGCTAAAGGGCTAGCAGTAATATGTCTCAAACAACTAACCACACAACATGTGCTGGGGTATATAATAACCTGCAGTGTAAGTTGCCTCCAGTGAACCATCCTTCCCCCTCGGTGGAAATACTTACAGTCCCTGGAACAGATCGAACGGACATGTCGGATCAGAGGACCCCGTCAGCCAAATCTATTCGACGGAAGACGTCGGCCGCTCGAAGTCGGTTGCGGCCGGAACGGAAACCCTCGGGTGATGCGAATGAGTCCACACACACAACCCAGTCCACATCAACCCCGAGCTCCAGTCTGGGTGGCCCCACCAGGCGGGCGAGTATGAATGCGTTCCAGTCGGAGGAGGAATCCACGTCTACAACTCCACTTCATTTGGCCTCGGGAAACTCATTCGGACTGGAGTTGAGACAGAAAACCCTGACTATCGAGGATGATAAGGACGACGGAGAGGAGCTGATGACCGCGGTGGTGGAGAATAAAAAAACGGATCAGACGGTTATCCCGTGAGTTTCTCCCAGTGCGGCTGCAAACCTGTTGCACTGTCCAACCAATTAATATCAAAATTTTAATGAAATTTATAACATACACATCTGACTGCACTTGTTTTTATTCCGGGTCAGGATCTGAAGGCATCTGACTCAGTAGTACATGGGACAAGGAATTAAACAGACCAAATCAGTCTGTATCGAGGTGCAGTACCAAGTTGAAAACTAATAGATTAAGTAGACGGTGGTGGTGCGTTGGTAACATCACCAAATTATCACCCCGGAGATGTGCGTTCGAATCCCACTACCACCGCCTGGCAATCCGCATTGTGTTTTAAATGGCAATCTTTGATTGGCTGCTTTCCCCTTCCTGAAACTTGTATCTTTATATACTCAATAAAAGGAAGTGAAAAATGAAAAGAAAAGAACATTCAGCAACAACCAAAAAGGATTTCTGAAGGAAGATACTGATAAGTTTCCAAAGTATCCCATTTGCCTTCCTTTATAAAAAGAATTTACATACATTTTGATTGGCCAAAACTCTTGTCTGTGATGAAATTTTAAGGGAAATTGTCACCGAACGCCGCTACTGAAGCCCTGCAGTAGTGCACGCTACCGAGTGTCGAATCATTCCGAATTGGTGTACCGAGAACTAAAACCCTCATCTCTGAGCTATACGGTCGATAGTGAACACCCGGAGAGCATCGCTTCTCCAGTTGAAATACGCGTTACCTTTTATGATTCATGCCAGTCGTTGCGGACTAGGATATGCGCCTAAGTGTTGCCGAAGCTGAACAAACGGTATATTACAGTAAATCGATTAAAATCAAACCGGTTCATTCGTCGGCACAGATCGATCAATGGAAGAGCGGAATTCTTCGAGGTGTGCTTTTGCGCCACAGATGGAAGAAGAGCCATTAAAGTACAATTTATGCTGTTTGCAGATTGAAATATCGATTTGGATTGGGAAATGTTCAGTAACCTGTGTGGGATTGGACACACGAGTGGACGCCTCCTACGCATGTATACAGTGCATGCTTTACCAACTGAACTACAAAGCCCCATCGATAGCGCTGATCATCCCGCATTTGGCTCGGTCATCCAACTTGCAGAAGCATATGAAATCTGTCAGTTAGCATGTAAGCAGATAAACCATATATTAAAAGATCAGTGCTATCGATTTGGCTTCGAAGCTCAGTTGTACAACAGTGTCGTCTAGGCGTGGATTCGAATCCCAACGAGGTTACTGAACTGTTCATAAATCAAAGTTATCGATGTAGTTGAGTGTGCTGGTCCGGATAGTCAATGGTTGAATTTCGTTGTTTTTCACTGTAATTATATTATATTGCATCGTATTCTCCCATTTGTCCCACAATTTCCAGCTGTGATGAAATGAACCACTCGAAAAAGTGTTTTACCCCCATGTTGTTTGATGAATATAACATACATCAGGTTGACACAGAGTGAGTGTTGCATTTCGAACCTCGGTGGACCTTTTGAGCATACTTTATGCGAGATTCCGGAACACATTCAACAGATAGAAAGTCCTTCCTTCTTTATGATGCCCTCCATTGTATCTTTTGGTTTGTAGATTTCAGAAGTATGATACAAACTTCAATTGGTAATGCACTCAATGTACTCAATTGGATTAAGAGCTGCATTGTATGCAGGACAAGCCATCACTTTAACACTGTGCAACAAAAAACATCTGGTGAGATGAAATTTTTGCGCTGCAGCATGAGTATGTTGGAGTACGGCCTCCGGCTAACAATTCAATCCCATTTATGGCAGTAAATGGTGTTTAGCTAAAAGAACGGAAGCGGTAAAATCTTGAACGCTGTGTATAATGGCGAAGCCACCCTAACCGAGGGCCGAAAATGCACCCTATACCATCGACAATACTGCAAACTAAAATGAAGATAGTACTTTTTCAGTCAATTAATATTAGTGTCAGGTATTCAGTTGGTCCAAGTTGAATTTCTTTCAATCATTAAAGTAACCGTATGTCCGTTGTTTCCACTTGGTAATGTGAGTTTCAACCCCAAAAAGACGGGCCTCTTGGTGAAATGTTATGAGCGCGAATATTCCTTTCCTTTTCTTGTGTCTTATCCACAATAGTTCTCCCGAGTCTATTGAATATTTCAATTGGAAACATATCGAAAATCCAATGTCAAACGTAACATCCTACGATCAACGTTCTCTGTGAAAAAACTTCAGCGATTGGCCAATTCATCTTGTTTGCCTTTTCACCTGCTGTGGTCATCTAAGGCATTGCTCAACTGCAGTATTGAATTGATTGCTCTGTTTGACTGTGTGGCATATACCACATTCTGTTTGACAAAGCGCTTCGATTCACCCTTTCTTAGTTTTGACAATTCTCTTCTAAAGAGTTACGATAGCGAGAAACTTTATTCTATTGATTTTCAACAGGCTGTTGGACTTCAAAGTAGGCGTTTGATCAATAGATGATTCAAATTCAAACGATTAAACCATCCACGCGTCAGCTTTTCAGCACAAGCTTACACAAAAGCATCAACGGTTAGGGAATTAGAAGAGCCATATTGAGAATGTGCAAAAAGGTGAGCGAAGCGTCCGCCACGGATTGTCCGTTCTATCGTACACTAACACGTTTTTCTACCAGCATCGAACCCCGGGGGGACGGTTTTATTTTAAATTAACCGTTATTTCCTTTTAAGCAAGTTTTGGAACAGAAACAAAAAGTATTCCGAATTTTTACTCAAGCATTGAAATAACACATTAATTATGGTCATTATGATTCATCCATAAGTCCCTGGGGGAGTGGGTGGTACGAAAGAGTCGTCGTGGGGTTTAGTCCAAGTAGCCAAAATGTGTGGTACAAACTATTCACATTAGTGATTGTCAGAATGAATATTTCAATCCACAAGCATGGTTCCCAAAGTATAGTGTAAAACGAAGTTATTTTTAATAATGCAGGCCGATCGAGTGTGTGTGTGTGTATGTGTGTAGGCGTGGGAACCACACTCACAACGATCTGAATAAAAGGGAACAAGTGAATTCTGAAAAGAAAATAGTTCGACGGTAGAAATAAAGTGCTTGACAAACGTTTCCTGAATAGGAATGTTTGTTTCAGGACGCCAGCCTTGAAGAATGAGGTCGGACTGCAATAAAACGTTTAGAACATCATTCCACAATTTACTCAGCAGGTTTGCTTCACATTTGATTGGGGGCAAGGTATAGTGAATCATCTTAATAGGATTTACTTCGAATAACATTACCGTATTATTCCTTGTAAAGAATCTCGTTACAACATAATGTTTGAAATTTCGAGCATTACACCATAACGTACGCACACCCGGATTGTCACAAAAATATGCGTCCTCTTCGTGATTGATTACGTAATCATAAGTCATGAACATATGCAAACCACCGGGTACGATTGTCTGAGAGCAAGCTGTCGAACTCATTCGATTTGTGACGGTTTAAGCTATTTTCCTTTCAATCGGAGCATTAGGATACCACTATTCATCACAGTACGCTATTTCGAACAAGTTCGATGCTCTCCCTGCTATCGTTCTATCAAAATAATAGCTTGAGAGCTCAGGGCGCATCATATAGTACACCCACCTAGTTTGTCCTTCAAATCTCAAGATCGCTGTTTCTGTTTTACACACACTGTGTCAGCGCGTCACCACACACAACGGTCATTTCGCTTGTCCTCCAGAACTGTGAATTCGGGTGTCAGATTCTCAGTAAATTTCATTTCTTTTTTCCAATTTGTGCATTCTATCATCAGCCAAACACAATCAAATGAATGTCCATTTTGGATAAACAATGTTAGTCCAATGCTTTAAATAGCGATTGTAATCAACTTTCTGATTTTACTCTGTTTCGATCGTTGGGCATCAATTTAACCTTCATATGGCCTTACTTTTGCCGTGTTCATGTATTAAATTGATTTCTATTACGAAATATGAGGCAAAAGTCATAGCACTCCTTTGTTCAATTACCTAGAAAGCATAAACTGCAAGACAATCGAGCAACTTAAATAGCCTAATGCTGGAATCGATTCAGAAGATTGAATTTTATCTATTGGTTTGTTGATAGTTGATCACATAAACACTGTTTTTCATTATTGGTACGTTTTTCCGGTCCAGAATTGTTCCTTCAATGCCACTTCTCTGTTCCTATTTTATTCTTTTGTCTAATTATTCAGTGGATGGATCAGTGCACGTGATGTGCGCGATCGATATTCCCGTGTTGTTCTGAGCGAAATGGCTGTAAGTGTCTCTGCCACCTTACGTCTCATGTCAGTCTGCCAAAGTTCCTTTCCCGCCTATTCGTTTGAATTTCTTTCCCGTGCAAAACGTTTCTTTGCAAAACGAATATCTTTCTATACTGCCGTAGTGACAACTTAACGAGGATACTATTGACACATTCAATGAGGCTACCTAGTACCAAACTGTTTCCCAATACTCATATGCGCACGGTAATTTTGCTTGGGAGTTCAAAGGTGTGTTACTTCATCAGTTAAAAATTAATTGATTAGAATTTGGTTTATCACGCATAGTCAACATGTCATTGATTAGCCTTCACCATCCTATTCCTCCGGTTTTTTGGGACTAATCAGCCGACCATATCCACCGCAGACTTGTGGTTGCTCAGGCTTTGGCAGTACTGTAGTACACCACTAAATTAGCTGGACTGCGATCCAGCGGTGGTTCTTATGTCCACATAATGCGACATGGGACCCATCTGTCTCTGCCGTTCGCCGCTAACTAGCTCGGTGAATATGCACCATTGAAGACTCTCATAAAGAAAAACTATATAGTAGTAAAACGCTTTTCCTTTGTGACAAGTGATACGTTATCAGTACTAGTGCTTGTCGTGTTGAAACCCAAGTAAAAGACTAGTCAACATATCCGGTAAATAAGACACTGTTCAAGTTCATTCAGTGGATGACAAACAGGAGGTCAAACAAAGCTAGACATTCCTGATACTGTATGCTGAGATAATTGTTCAGAACGTAAAGTGCACGGGACGGAAGGATTGAATTTCAGCAGCCGACGAAGAGACTGAACATAGCAATTCGAAGTGGAATGGAATCTCCCGTCATCTTGTGGATCTTCATCCGGAAGTTGACACTGTCATTCTATTTCGGATTCCGATGTCATGGAAACCGTGTACAACGTTAGAAAAAAACAAACTGTTGCATAAATTCGTTTTAGAAGACAATTTTTGAATAGACTGTCTGTTGAACTGGTTTAAGATTTTGTGTTTTAAACACGATATGCTTGTCATTGTCTGCGGTTAAAAAAGCAAGATTATAATTTACCTTTATTCCGGGATGAAATTCTATCTTGTTTCTGCCTTAATAATTGTCCATGAAAAACTCACTAATAGTTGGTTTCATCAGCATGACAAATCATGTGATTATCTTGTTCAAACACTACTTCAGTTATGAAATTCCTTTCATTTCAAACGGTAAAAGAGTGTTCAAAAGTAAGTCCGCAATATCAACGAAATTTTGTTTGATTATAACTAGGGATTTAGTATTTGTATAAGATAAACTGACATAGTGTTAAAATTCCAGAAAGCGATGCTCGGTTGAGTAAAGTTGTTAATTACGAATAACGGTTAGGGTATGGGCAAATTGTCATTCATAAAATAAAATGTCTCATTTGGAACGAATCTGTGGAATTCACATACACACTCACAAGTGTGAGTAGTATCTCTTAATAATAATGTTTCACATTGAGAAATAATAACAAAGATGAATCTTCCGATAAAAAGGATCCAATGCTGTTCGGTTGCCTTGTTGACTCATTTGAAAATTCATTGCACAGTCTTATTACAATAGAGTATCACAAACTTTTGAATTGGAGTTGAAAATTTAACAGTTTCGGTGGGACCAGTAAAACCATTCAGTTACTTGTCGCAGAAACATTTTTCAGTTTAAATTTCAGCGATCGATTTTGAGGGGTTTTGTCTCCAACTAACTGTTAAACAATCATAAAATTGTTCTAATCCTTTGTCTGTTTTCAGGGATAACAATACAAACTGATGATTTCACTCCACAGTCAAACATGAATTAAAAGTGTTTTGTGGTCGTATGTTGTATTCACGGATTTACCTGCAGAATGAAGTGTAACGGACGTCATTCTATGCCACGTCAACTCTTCGTGACTTCCTTTTCAACAATTGGTTATGGTATTTTCCAAATACACTGCCAGACACTTTGAAGGAGCTCTGATTAATCTAGACTTAGTTGTACCGCATTGTCACTATCATAACGTCTCTTTTTTCTGTCTCTTACTGCTTTGAACGGCATTCGAGGTCCAAAATCGATTCACTTCACTGTGGTAAATGACCCCGCTTACTTTGAAAATGAAAAAATACTATTGCACTATGCATTTATCTTTGTGCCTCCTTGACCAGAAACAAATTGAATTGGATTTGGACAAGGAAATTGCGAACGAACGGATGGAGAAACTGCATCGTATTCACAAACAATCCATTCTTGAAAGGTAACAAACAACCCCAAAGTCCATAATCTGAGAATCCTTCCTATCCTGTTTTGTTTTCAAACAATCATTATCAATAGGAAGATTTTCTTAAGGGGGGAAGTGACTGCACTACTTCTTGTAGTAACACACAAAATGAATAGTTCCCAAATGATCGTATTCCTCTGTTACCAAGTTATCGGAAGGCAAAATGTAACTAATCAACACTGGTGTCCGTAAGTCCGACTAGCTCTGTTTCGTTTTGAGGGAGTTGTTCCAAAGTAAATAGACGTCGAAAACCCATTAAACCAGGTAATTTGGCTGCCACGGCCCGTTATCTGCCCGGAGCCGTTTTACAATTTTCATGAACTATTTTTTTGTCAGCTCGAGCGTTTCATTCACAATTCAAACTATACACAAAAGATGTGATCATTTTATCCGGTGAACTGATTTTGACCAGTGACTCAACTATTTTATATCCACTCTCAGGAGATCTGCCAGTTCCGAACCAGATACTGTGGTACTGTATTTGATGACTTTTTGTATATCTATCTATTAAAAATGAGTAAATAACCGAAATTTATCATTTTCGAGAGGGCGTTAAAATTTCAGTTTCGATTTTCCAATCATCAGCCATGCACTCCCTTGTGTCAATTTTGGTTATTGTTTGTAGGATGCCCATTTATATAAAAGATCTGAATTAAGAATGGAATGTTAAAATGCCGATTCAAAGGGAATATAGTGATTTTTCATACAGAGTAATGGTGTAAGACTGTTAAGCAGATGCACGAGCGCATATGTTTACCACACTTAGACAGCATTTTCAGTGACTCTAACCCCAAGTTAACATGGTCTCGGGGTCCCCAGTCAGGGAGCCTAACGGTACCTATTTGATCAAGTATTCCGGTTACAATTTGCATACCCTCATGCCACTTGTTCCAGGGGACGATCGTGATTACCAAAACTTAGAACTCCCTCCCTCCACACCCCTCTTTACTGAGGCATTAAAATCTGTACTGGACTGGAGTTAAGTGACAGAAATTGAAACGGTAAATTTTTGGATTAGCCCATTCTTTTCACGGGCACCAGGCACTGTTCATGATCTTCAGTTGGCTCCAGTGAACCAAAACTATAGGACTATGCACGATGTGAAAAAGGTCAATCATTTATTCCCTCAGTGTGATCTGGCTCATTGGACGTGAAAACCAGACTTCTACGGTAGGTCAATATAGAAGGCTCCGCCAACTGATAGCGAGCCCATGAAGGTTTACTCATCTCGCTCGATATTGTGTCAATAAACTGTATTGCGGAACTCGGCTAAAAACTAAATGTGAATTTTGGAAGTGGTGAAGAGACGAACAAAAAGGAATAACTTCAGTTTTTTGATACGTATATAGAGGCAGAAAATCAGCAAATAAATTGTCTACGAGAGCATGAACAGGAGAAAAAAAGAAATGCATTCTTTTTACTGGATTTTTATTCAAAATGA